CACTGCATAGAGTGGAGAGATCACTGCATAGGATGGAGAGATCACTGCATAGGGTAACAAAATTATTCATATAAATTTTACTCACGTCAAATTCTTCGGTTGAACCAGATTCAAATCTTAGCACTACATCTTTTTTATCCTCTTTGATATTTTCCTGCTTCTTTTCATCTAGTTTATTTTCTTCTTCATCTTGTTCCTTCACACTCTCTCCTTCTTTCAATAGTGGAATAGGATCTGTGCAGCCATTCTGTCCATACACCATCATATAGGTCTTTGCTGTTGTTCCCATTTTATCATCTTTTCCAGTTCTCATCCATACATGCCATTTACCCTGTGAGTTGGATTCTCCATCATCAGGTGGTGTCTCATTTTCTGTCTCAGGAGCTGATACTGGTCTTTCAACTAACAACAACAATTGGGTATTAATGATATGATGCATTATTTCTCAACATCTTCTTTCACTCTAACTACTGCACTGAACAAGAACAAGTATTAGCAAGATGACAACTGTATTTCAAGTTGGCATGGCAAAATGGTAGCAGTAGATAAAGTAAATAAAGCAATGCTATTATATTACATTGGTTGCTCTCAGTGATTTTTTAAATGTATATGAATGTTGGTTACAACTTGCAAAACAGCTAGCATGAACAAAAAAGCCTGCCAGACAAATGTTTTTGTGTTTTGAGTCGCCAGTGTAACAGTGGGTCTAGCATCCGGACAATAAAAACCTGACATGGCCAGACAGCAGCCAACCTGCATTGTTCAAACAAGAAACACAATGTAGTTTTGTGTTAGTGAAGTGTAGCTCTTACACTCAGCTTGCCATAAAAATCCATTACAAGATCCATTTAGCGAATATATCTATTTAAAGTACTTCTGAAATAGAACACTAAGTTGAAGTCCAAATAAACTTAAAAAGACATCCAATGTTACTGGAATTCTAGGCTCATTGATGATTTGGTTGGCTTAAATAAATATGATTCAATGTGTTATTCAGAGCCTGTCTCACTGCAGTAATGTTGAGTACCATTAATATTCAGATAAAGTCTAGATTCAGTAATGCCTGAGAATTATCTTCCACTAAGAGATGCATACTACTCACAAAATAAACTATTTTGAATTGACAAAACAACCTGGCTATGTGAGAACAAAAACAATTCTAATTTTGTAAAATCTTACCTCCCCAAATTTCTCTGTCTGACATTACCATGCCATCAACTTGAATTTTCCCAATCCAATCTTGACATGCAAACTGCCACTGTACCTTGGAGAATTCAGATTCTTTGACTATAATTTTATCCAGAAGCCAAGCATTGTCAGGCTCTCCAGAGTCGATGAAAACTACTATCTTTTCTAACTCACCTAGAGAGACTGCTTCTATCAGGAATGAATCAACCTAAAGTGTGAAATAACATATAAAGGGCAGCAAATTTATTTTAGGAATTCATTGAAATCACACATGTAATGGTTTATTTTTATAAAAACAAGTCATTGAAAATGACACAGTCCCCATTAAGTTCTCTTTGTGCTCGTCATATTAAAGCGGAGGGGTTGTCGCGAGCGTGTCCTTGAAACTTGAGTTCCAAGTGGCGTATACAACAGATTGTTTATTTACATCAAAACATGTGTTTCGTGTCATAGTAATATGGCCAAAATAAAAACAGCCGTTATTCAGCCATCTTTGATCTGATAATGAAACACACTGATATGTATGATGTATGTGCCAAATACGAATGAAAATGGTACATAAATCTTGGAAATATAGTAGTAAGGCCAAAAAGTCAGATGGCTGTCAATTGGCCATCCTTGACCAGATTTGGAAACAAATTGTCATAGACATGCATCCTAACAAGTATAAAGTACATGTGCCAAATTTGAATGAAAACTGACAGAGCACATCCAAGATACCGCATAAAAAAACAAAAACAAGATGCCTGCCAGTCGACCATCTTTGATCCAATTGCGAAATAAATCGTCATGGACATGTATCCTAACATGTATAATCTATGTACCTATCGGGAATCATTATAAGCACTCGAGCTTAATGTAACTTTTGGATTCTGCATACAAAAGATTCAGCCTA